TGCGTGGGGGCTTTCTCTAGTTGCAGCAAGCCGGGGAGCGGGGGCTACTCTTCCTTGCCATGCGTGGGCTTCTCATTGCGGTGGCTTCTCTTGTTGCGCAACATGGGCTCTAGGCACACGGGCTTCAGTAGTTGTGGCACACAGGCTCAGTAGTTGTGGCTCGTGGGCTCTAGATTGCAGGCCCAGTAGTTGTGGCGCCCGAGCTTAGTTACCCCGCAGCATGTGGGATCTTCCTGGACCAGGGCTCGAACCCGTGTCCCCTACATTGGCAGGGGAATTTTTTTGTTGTTTATTTTATTTTTGGCTGCGTTGTGTCTTTGTTGCTGCGCATGGGCTTTCTCTAGTTACGCCGAGCGGGGGCTACTCTTTGTTGCGGTGCGCAGGCTTCTCATTGCGGTGGCTTTTTTCTTGTGGTGGAGCACGGGCTCTAGGCGCCCAGGCCTCAGTAGCTTTGGCTCTCAGGCTCAGTAGTTGTGGTGCACGGGCTTAGTTACTCCGCAGCATGTGGGATCTTCCCGACCAGGGCTCGAACCCATGTACCCTGCACTGGCAGGCGGATTCTTAACCACTGCGCCACCAGGGAGGTCTGAGAATCCTTTTCTAAAGGATAATCTTAGGGAGGAAATCACACTGACGGTCACACTGAGAACTTATTTAAATTTAAAAAATAGCCAAGGGACGGAGAAGAAAACTTATTTTTTGCGATTATTATAAATCGCCACTTCTTTTTTTTTCTTTTTGGCTGCCCCGCGGGGCTTGAGGGACCTTAGTTCCCCGATTCCCTGATCAGGGATCAAACCCAGACCCCTGCCACTGAGCATGCCAAGTCCTAACCGCTGGACTGCCAAGGAATTCCTTAAATCGCCACTTTTTGTAGCCCTCTTTAGAAAGTTTTGTTTTTTCCCAGGAGTCGTGTGCCTCTTCTGATTCCCTAGAACAGCACTGTCCAATAGAACTTTCTGCAGTGTGGGAAATGTTCTGTATGTACACTGTTCAGTATTGCAGCTACAGGCTATATGTGGCTACTGCGCACTTGACGTGTGGCTAATGTGACTGAGGAGCTGACTTTTAAAATTTTAATTAATTCAAAGTTAACCACACATGACTCGTATTTAGCATATTGGATAGTACAACTCTAGGATATCAAAATCTTGTTCCTGCTAGACTCACTGTTTTTGTCAATCTGCACAGTCCTGATATCTGGATTATTTCAATTGCTTGGTTGGGGATATAAATTAAGATCTGTTAAGAGTTGCCTAACATCTAATACCCTTACCAAAACCTAGCTAATACCTTCTTTTCCAAGTGAATCGCTTAGTCAGATAAATTTTAGGGCACCTGACCTTGCTCACATTCTCTGACAAGATATTGATATTCTGTTGTTTTGAAGTCAGTGGCTAAATGTATCTCTGTGTTATAAACGTTCTCAAAATCTTTTTATGTGATTGTGTGTTGGACTACTATAAGAGCTATCTATATTTGTGTTTGGGCATAAAATATTTGTCTACCTTTTTAGTAATTTCTGTAGGAAAAGGCCACGTTCATATTATTCAAATTATATGCATTTATCAGAATATAAGCTCCACAAAGCAGAGGGTTTTGTCTGTTTTGTTCACTGTTTGTATCCCCTGCCTAGAACAGTGCCTAGGGCATGTTAGATATGCATTAAATATTTTTTAAAAGATTGTTTTGTTGAACTCTTTAGATTTAGCTGCTATGAATATTTAGTGTTTATATGATTTCAGGATTGCATTTATTTATATAAAATTTCTATTGTACAACCAATTGGAGACCATTTTAGATTTCCAAGTTTGCATTTTACTCTTTAATTCTCAATCAGTGGTAAATCAATGATAAGTTATTAATGAATTTATTAGTGTTGGCAAAAGAGCCTGTTGATTGAAGTAACTTCAGAGTTGAGTGTAGGGAAATAACATTTCAAGATTACTGAGTTGCTTTTTCTTATTTTTGAATTTTAGCACTTTACATATTTTTTAAATACTCTTTTTTGTTATAGTTGAGCAAAAATATTATTTATATTTTGTTGTGATATGTTTTTGGGAATTTCTGTAATGCGGAACTCTCAGGTCTTTTGAGATATTAAAATCTGGAAGATAATTTTGAGGAATGACAATGAAACTTATTCACATGTGTCATGCAGATGCCAATTTCAACATGGGGATTGAGTCCTAAATTGAAATAGCTTAATATGATATCACCTCAGAAGCAGAGCTTTCCAAAAAAGATCATATGATACTAGCAGCTGTCTGTGTTTGGTACTAAAAGAGTTCAATATGTGCTTAGAAATTTAACCAAGAGGTTGAATCAAGATGGCAGACCAAGAACAAGTTCTAGCCTCTCCTGACTCCTCCCCTCTTTAGAAAATCTCTAAAAATTACAGGAAAGTTAGATGAATACACCCTCTCATATGCATCCATGTACATACGTTGATATTGAAAAACATGAAGGAGTGCTCTCAATGGCCCAGACATTATGACAATCTTTGAAAAAAGAAGGCCAACGGGACTGGAATATAGTTGGACAAACAAAAGTTGCATAAGCAGAGGCTTAATATAGAAGTAGGAGTGGCCCTTGGGGGTGTTCTAAGCACACAGAAAGAAGCTATTGATATCTGTAGGGCCCTTGGACAATTGAGTTATTGATTGGGGTACCACTGTAGGAAGAGTCAGATAGGTCAGCCTCTCAACCTCGCTTCCATGTGAAAGCAGTGGATTGAAGAACTTGCTCCTAAAGAAGGCAGGGACAGTCATGTAGGCACTTTTGTTAAAAAGATAGGACAGGGCCCTGGATGGCTTTTGACAACTAGGGGGAAGAGAGAGGCCCCACATCTTGAAGACTGGTATCAACTCCCTTTATCAAGCTGTACACCCAACATTCCCTCCTCCACAAATCTACCAAAAATATAGTTTTAAAAGGACATATTACTTTCAAAAGAGCAATAATAAGACTCACACCTGACTTTTTAACAGAAATAAGGAAATCCATGAAAAGTGGAATAATGTTTTAAAAGAAGTTAACCTAGAAATCTATACCCAGCAAAATAGACTTCAAAATGAAGATACAAATGTGTTTAGAAAATGAAAATTGAGAAAAAAAAACTTTTTTGTTACAGACCCACACAAAGAATTGTTAAAGAGAGTTATTCAGGCTCAAGGAAAAATGACCCAGATGGAAGCACAGAAATGCAGGAATAAATTAAGAGCAATGGAAAGGATAAATACAAGGTCAGTATATACAACTCAATTGTATTCCTATATTATAGCAATAATAAATTAGAAAATAAAAAATTTTAGGTGATAAAATTTATAATAATATAAAAAATTAAATACATATGAATAAATCTAAAATAGTGCAAGATCTCTTCATATCAAACTATATACTATTTCTGAGAGGAATTAAAGAAAACCTAAATAAATGGAGGGCCGCACCAAATTCAGGCTAGGAAGACTTTTAATGAAAACATATTACTTCTTCCAAATTGATGTATAGATTCAGTGCAGTCCCAGTAAAAATTGACATTTTGTGGTAAAAATTGACAAGCTGATTTCAAATTTACAGTTGACCATTGAATAACATGGCTTTGAGCTGTGTGGGTCCCCTTACATGTAGATTTTTTTTGATAGTAAATACTAAGTTACTAGATGATCTGTGGATTTTCGACTGGGTAGGGGTTGGCGCTCCCAACTCCCTTGTTGTTCAAGGGTAAACTGTATATGTAATTGCAAAAGGCCAAGAACAGCCAAGAGAGTCTCAAAGAAGAACAAAGTTGGAGGGCCTATACCTACCATATATCACCTCTTATTATTGAGATAAGCTCATTATTAGGATAAAATGGTACAGCTTTGGCTCTAAGATAGACAAATAGACCAATAGAAAAGAATAGAGGCCAGAAACAAACCGACACATATATAGTCTTTTGATTTATGACAAAAGTGATACTGTAGTGCAGTGAGGAAGTGTGAGCTTATCAATAAATTATGCTGGATCAATTGGATAGTCATAAGACCAGTGTGTCTTGACTCCTAGCTGTGTATACCCAAACATCAATTTCACATAGATTGTAGACTTAGGTAAAACAACAAAGCTACTAGAAGATAACATGAGAGAACATCCTTATGATCTGGGGAAGGCAAATATTTCTTAAACTGTACAGAAAAATCACTGATCATAAAAAGATTGATAAATAGTTTATCATTAAAGTCGAGAACTTCTCTTAATAAAAATATGCCATTAAGAGAATTAAAAGGCAAGCTTCTCAATTTTTTTTCCTTAAGAAAATAAGCAATGAATATGCATTGAATCATTTTCATCAACTGATATTTTTTAAATTAAATTTTAAAGTTTATGATAAGTGTATATTCACGTGAAGTTGTAGGATATAATACAAGGAGATACTGTGTACCCCCTAAAGATAACAACTTGCAAAACTATGGTACACACAACCAGAATATTGGTATTCATACAATCCACCCATTTTCTTCAGATCTTCCCAGTTTTACTTTTACACGTGCGTGCGTGTATATTAAGTTCTATGCAGTTTTATCACATGTGGTTTCATGCATCCACCACCACAGTAAAGATTCAAAGCAGTTCCATCACCACAAAGTTCCTTCCTGTTGTTCTTTCATAACCATTCCCACCCCACCCCCCACTCTGTCTCCCCAGAATGCATTTTTAACCATCATTAATTTTTATAATAACCACAATTAAAATAACTATGTAATTTATTTATTTTTTAAAAATTTTTATTTTTTTGGCTGCATTGGGTCTTCGTTGCTGCACGCGGGCTTTCTCTAGTTGCAGCGAGTGGGGGCTACTGTTCATGGTGGTACGCAGGCTTCTCATTGTGGTGGCTTCTCTTGTGGAGCTCAGGCTCTAGGTGCATGGGCTTCAGTAGTTGTGGCACACGGGCTCAGTAGTTGTGGCTCGTGGGCTCTAGAGTGCAGGCTCAGTAGTTGTGGCACACAGGCTTAGTTGCTCTGCGGCATGTGGGATCTTCCCGGACCAGGGCTTGAACCCATGTGCCCTGCATTGGCAGATGGATTCTTAACCACTGTGCTACCAGGGAAGTCCAATAACTGTGTAATTTAAACAGTGGTTCACAAGCATTTATCCAAGTCAATCAAATAAATGGTGCCTATATGTTTAACAGAAAGCAAAAGTTTAGTAACTCTGGAGGAATTAATTTCCTTGCTCGTTAAGAGATTAATAAACAAAGAATACATTATAGAAGGAAGAAATATGTTTTCACTTTGAAACCACTTAAAAAAATTTCTTTAGCTGTTAGTATTAATAGTAAGTATTATACTAATTAGACACTGCCTACCATTCCTAAATAGAAACTCACTTATGATGTTATCCTTCTTAATGCAGGAGGGGTATCTATTCCTTTTCTTTTCCATTCTTTTCTTTTTTTACTTTTCTTCCTCATTTCATCCTTTGGAGACTGTCTATAGTCCCACCTTTTCTCCAGTCTGAGTCTTGAGTAGACTGATAATTGCTAACCGCATACCCATTCTCCTTTCTCTCAAATAAACAGAGTCCCAATTTTCTACTGAGCACAATGTAGCCAAAAGATGACTACATTGCAGCAAGTTGGAGTTTTGCATATAGTTCTGACCAAAGAGATATACATTAATGAACTGATGGGACTTCAGGGAAATCTCTTGAGAAATGAAGGCTGTTCCCCCTTTTCCTCCCTTCTCTATCCTGCTGCTTAAGTTTTGAGTGAAATGGCTGGAGTTTTAGCAGTCATTTTGGAACATGGGAAGACATGTAAGTAAAGCTAAGCAGCAAAATGGAAGAAACCCGGATCCCTGACACCCATAAAAACTTTGTGCCTGCACAGGACTTGCTACCTCTGGACTTCTTTCGTATGTAAGAGAAATAATTTTGTAAAGGAAATCATAACATATTTTAGCAGCTTACCCATACTTTCATAATAATTAGAACTCCCAAAGACTGATTCACATGATTACTTTAAATATATTTACATATTTAAATCAGAATTTTTGCTAGAAACTAAGGTAGAATTTAAACTAGAGTTAAACTAGAATCTCTGTGTTCGTGTCTATTGATTATCTTTTGTCATTCAGTTTGTGATCTTAGGTTATAGGTATGATGGATTTTTGGTCAAAACTTGGACATTTTGGTTATTATGTTATGGGGCTCTGTATCTTAATTTACTTCTCTTTTAGCCAGCTTCCTCAGATACTACTGTGGAAGGGATATGCTGCCCCATTACTGCCAGGTGGCAATGAAAGTCCTGGTTCCCCACTCAGTCCCCATTGATACCCAAGGGAGCAACACTGCTTGTTACTGCTGGGTGGGAGTGAGAGCCAGCTTCCTCCAAGTCTGGGATGTATAAGGCAAAAATAAATCCTAGGGAACTCATCACTGTGTCTTTTCTAGGGTCTCTAGGTCACTAGCCAATCTGCCTTTTTCTCTCCATCTTATAGAATCTTCTTATTTTTTTATATACAGTGTCTAGAGTTTTCAATTGTACTTAACCAGCAAGAATATGGAAAAATATATCTATTCATTCCTCCTTGAAGCATTTATGTGTTTTATTACAGAGAGGCGTTGCTGAATCCCTCATGCTGCCAAAACTGGAAGTCCTTCTTTCTGCTTTTGTCCCTTAAACATTTTTTTCCTTCCCTCCACTTTTATAATTTCTATCACTAGTTTAACTAATAATCATCTTCAGTAATATAAGTTAAAAAATAAAATGTAACTGTATTCAAAGCATTCTAGTTATCTATTTGTGCATAACAAGCCATACCAAAATTTTGTGGCATAAAGTGACAACTACTTTATTGTCATTATGGATTCTCTGGGTCAGGAATTTGGGCAGGGTACAGCAGAGATGGCTTAGCTTTGGTTCATGATGTCTGAGGTCTCTGCTGGCAAGACTTGAAGAGCTGGGGGAGACTTCACTGGCTGGGGTCCAGAGTCATCTGTAGGTTTCCTACTCACATGTCTGGTGCCTGGGCTGGGAATACTTGAAGACTGGGTTTAGTTGGGCCTATTAACTGGAATGCCTATTATGTGGTCTCTCTTTGTGGTTTAGGCTTCCTCACAGTATGGCAGCCTCAGGATAGCTGGACTTTTTAAATGGTGGCTCAGGGCTTCACAAGTGAGTGTTCTAGTGAACAAGGCAGAACCTGAATGGCCTTTTTGATATAGACTTAAAAGCCATATAGTGTCACTTCTACTTTACTTCATTGGCTGAAGAAGTTTCAAGCCTACTCAGAGTACTATATGGACACCCCCCCTGACCTCTCTATGGGAGGTGTGTAAAAGAATTGAAGCCAATTTTTTAAACTGCCACAAAATGTATACAAACTTTGAATACCTTTTATACAGAAAGTTTAAATTAAAGTAAATGTAAAAAAGTTTACAAACAATGCCTTCAAGAAATTATTTTTCTTCTAGAAAAGGACCTACAAAAACAAATCCAAAACAATTAAGAAAATGGTCATAGGAATATACATATCGATGATTACCTTAAATGTGAATGGATTAAATGCTCCAACCAAAAGACACAGGCTTGCTGAATGGATACAAAAACAAGACCCAGGACTTCCCTAGTGGTGCAGTGGTGGAGGGTCCACCTGCCGATTCAGGGGACATGGGTTCATGCCCCGGTCTGGGAGGATCCCACATGCTGCGGAGCAGCTGGGCCCATGAGCCGTGGCCGCTGAGCCTGCACATCCAGAGCCTGTGCTTCACAACAGGAGAGGCCACAGCAGTGAGAGGCCCATGTACTGCCCAAAAAACCCCCAAAACTAACAAACAAACAAACAAAAAAAACAAAACCTATATATATGCTGTCTACAAGAGACCCACTTCAGGCCTAGGGACAAATACAGACTGAAAGTGAGGGGATGGAAAAAGATATTCCATGCAAATGGAAATCAAAAGGAAGCTGGAATAGCAACACTCATATCAGATAAAATAGACTCTAAAATAAGGAATGTTACAAGAGACAAGGAAGGACACTATGTAATGATCGAGGGATCAATCCAAGGAAAAGATATAACAATTATAAATATATATGCACCGAACATAGGAGCACCTCAATACATAAGGAAACTGCTAACAGCTATAAAAGAGGAAATCGACAGTAACACAGTAATAGTGGGGGACTTTAGCACCTCACTTACAGCAGTGGACAGATCATCCAAAATGAAAATTAATAAGGAAACACAAGCTTTAAATGACACAATAGACCAGATAGATTTAATTGATATTTATAGGACATTCCATCCAAAAACAGCAGATTACACTTTCTTCTCAAGTGGGCATGGAACATTCTCCAGGATAGATCACACCTTGGGTCACAAATCAAGCCTCAGTAAATTTAAGAAAATTGAAATCATCAAGCATCTTTTCTAACCACAATGCTATGAGATTAGAAATCAGTTACAGGGAAAAAAACATTAAAAACACAAACACATGGAGGCTAAACGATACGTTACTAAATAACCAAGAGATCACTGAAGAAATCAAAGAGAAAATCAAAAAATACCTAGAGACAAATGACAATGAAAACACGATGATCCAAAACCTATGGGATGCAGCAAAAGCAGTTCTAAGCGGGAAGTTTATAGCTATACAAGCTTACCTCAAGAAACAAGAAAAATCTCAAATAAACAATCTAAGCTTACACCTAAAGGAACTAGAGAAAGAGGGACAAACAAAACCGAAAGTTAGCAGAAGGAAAGAAATCATAAAGATCAGAGCAGAAATAAATGAAATAGAAACAAAGAAAGCAATAGCAAAGATCAATAAAACTAAAATCTGGTTCTTTGAGAAGATAAACAAAATTGGTAAACCATTAGCCAGACTCATCAAGAAAAAGAGGGAGAGGACTCAAACCAATAAAATTAGAAATGAAAATGGAGAAGTTACAACAGACACCGCAGAAATACAAAGCATTCCAAGAGAATACTACAAGCAACTCTATGCCAATAAAATGGACAACCTGGAAGAAATGGACAAATTCATAGAAAGGTATAAGCTTCCAAGACTGAACCAGGAAGAAGTAGAAGATATGAACAGACCAGTCACAAGTAACGAAATTGAAACTGTGCTTAAAAATCTTCCAACAAACAAAAGTCCAGGACCAGATGGCTTCACAGATGAATTCTATCAAACATTTAGAGAAGAGCTAACACCCATCCTTCTCAAGCTCTTCCAGGAGGAAGGAAAACTCCCAAACTCATTCTATGAGGCCACCATCACCCTGATACCAAAACCAGACAAAGATACTACAAAAAAAGAAAATTACAGACCAATATCACTGATGAATATAGATGCAAAAATCCTCAACAAAATACTAGCAAACAGAATCCAACAACACATTAAAAGGATCATACACCATGATCAAGTGGGATTTATCCCAGGGATGCAAGGATTCTTCAATATATGCAAATCAGTCAATGTGATACACCATATTAACAAACTGAAGAATAAAAACCATATGATCATCTCAATAGATGCAGAAAAAACTTTTGACAAAATTCAACACCCATTTATGATAAAAGCTCTCCAGAAAGTGGGCATAGAGGGAACCTATCTCAACATAATAAAGGCCATATACAACAAACCCACAGCAAACATCATTCTCAATGGTGAAAAACTGAAAGTATTTCCACTAAGATCAGGAACAAGACAAGGATGTCCATTCTAACCACTATTATTCAACATAGTTTTGGAAGTCCTAGCCATGACAATCAGAGAAGAAAAAGAAATAAAAGGAATACAAATTGGAAAAGAAGAAGTAAAACTGTCATTGTTTGCAGATGGCATGATACTATACATAGAGAATCCTAAAGATGCCACCAGAAAACTACTAGAGCTAATCCATGAATTTGGTAAAGTTGTAGGATACAAAACTAATGCACAGAAATCTCCTGCATTCCTTTACACTAATGATGAAAAATCTGAAAGGGAAATTAAGGAAACACTCTTTTTTACCATTGCAACAAAAAGAATAAAATACCTAGGAATAAACCTACCTAGGGAGACAAAAGACCTGTATGCAGAAAGCTATAAGACACTGATGAAAGAAATTAAAGATGATACAAACAGATGGAGAGATATACTGTGTCTTAGATTGGAAGAATCAACATTGCAAAAATGACTATACTAGCCAAAGCAATCTACAGATTCAATGCAGTCCCTATCAAACTACCAATGGCATTTTTCACAGAACTAGAACAAAAAATTTCACAATTTGTATGTTAACACAAAAGACCATGAACAGCCAAAGCAATCTTGAGAGAGAAAAACGGAGCTGGATGATTCAGGCTCCCTGACTTCAGACTATACTACAAAGCTACAGTAATCGAGACAGTATGGTACTGGCACAAAAACAGAAATATAGATCAATAGAACAGGATAGAAAGCCCAGAGATAAATCCATGCACATATGGTCACCTTATCTTTGATAAAGGAGGCAAGAATATACAATGGAGAAAAGACAGCCTCTTCAATAAGTGGTGCTGGGAAAACTGGACAGCTACCAGTAAAAGAATGAAATTAGAACACTCCCTAACACCATACACAAAAATAAACTCAAAATGGATTAAAGACCTAAATGTAAGTAAGGCCAGACACTATCAAACTCTTAGATGAAAACATAGGCAGAACACTATATGACATAAATCACATCAAGATTCTTTTTTGACCCACCTCCTAGAGAAATGGAAATTAAAACAAAAATAAACAAATGGGACCTAATGAAACTTTAAAGCTTTTGCACAGCAAAGGAAACCATAAACAAGATGAAAAGACAACCCTCAGAATGGGAGAAAATATTTGCAAAGGAATCATTGGACAAAGGATTAATCTCCAAAATATATAATCAGCTCATGCAGCTCAATATCAGAAAAACAAACAACCCAATCCAAAAATGGGCAGAAGACCTAAATAGACATTTCTCCAAAGAAGACATACCGATGGCCCAGAAGCACCTGAAAAGCTGCTCAACATCACTAATTATTAGAGAAATGCAAATCAAAACTACAATGAGGTATCACCTCACACCATTTAGAATGGGCATCATCAGAAAATCTACAAACAACAAATGCTGGAGAGGGTGTGGAGAAAATGATGGAGGGTGTAAATTGCTACAGCCACTATGGAGAACAGTATGGAGGTTCCTTAAAGAACTAAAAATAGAATTACCATATGACCCAGTAATCCCACTACTGGACATATACCTAGAGAAAACCATAATTCAAAAAGACACATGCACCCCAATGTTCATTGCAGCACTATTTACAATAGCCAGGACATGGAAGCAACCTAAATGCCCATCGACAGATGAATGGATAAAGAAGATGTGGTACATATATACAATGTAATATTGCTCAGCCATAAAATGGAACGAAATTGGGTCATTTGTAGAGACGTGGATGGATCTAGAGACTGTCATACAGAGTCAAAAAAAGAAATTATTTTTCTTTGAATATATTCAATATTATCTGCTAAGTTCAAAGGCAAAACATAATAATAATGACTATCAAAATTTAAGTTAAATTTAGTTAAATATAATTGAAAGTTTTAACTGTTTTTTGAAATTTAATTATTATAATTTTTTTCTATAAACCTAAACTATTCATAATTGTAGCTATCAATGTGAAGAATAGGTGTTGTGTTTAATATATGTTTTACCTAGACTTACATATATACAGATTTAGGATATTATTAAATTGTTTAATATTGTAAATTTTTCTCAGATACCGTGTGCAACTGTTGTAAAAACTGTGCTAAATTGTGAATATTGGATGTAGAGAGTTCAAGACAATGAACACTCTGCTCTATGACAAATAGTTTGCTATTCAAAAATCTATTGTGGTCATGATATTTGAGAGAAAAGATATGATGAGCTAATTTTTTTTCTTACCTAATTATTTCTCCAACTCAAATGCTCCTCATACTCTGAAGCATTGTCCATCTCTGATATCAGCAGTGCCACAGTCCTCAATTCTTCATTTGAACATAGTTGTCTTTTATGGACACAGGGTAGTGTAGCAGAGTGTTTCTCTGGTGCCTAAATGGTGTGAATCACAGCAGCAGATGTGTTGGATTGTGAATTGCCCAGTGTCATCACTGAGCACTGGGTCCTGAGTGACAGAAGTACCAGTGTGATTTTTACCAAATTCATCATTTATGGTTTTCTGGTTTATGGGTCCGTCTAAGGTGCAGGACTAGGGCAGGGGCCTCTTGCCTGGGTTTGAAGGCATTACCACTTCTCTGGGAGCATGAACTTTCAAACTTTGTCTAGTCACACTCACTGCTAGCTCTAGTTCAGAGTTTATAATCCAGGGAGCTTCCAAGAACATGAAGTTCCTTCAACAGTGTTTCCACAGTAAATTATGCCCCAGCTTAGGTTCAGAAGTTGATAGGATGCCCATTTGTCCCATAATATGGAGCTCTAACATCAGGGGTTGTGATCACACTTGGTACTCACAATGTTTGCTGACCTTTAGAGGTGAGTCGTAGCTTTGGTACATTGAATTTTCTCATTTGAGGGGAAAAAGGACTCATTTAATCAAGCAAAACTCTTGTATCAGTGAGCCTAGACAACCTCCAAAATGTAAGGCCTCTATTTGTATTTATTCTCTAGAATTTCTTCTCCGTATCTGAGTACTGGGGTCAGAATTCAGTCTAGAGATGACCTCAAGATCTCTACCTTCTGTTTGGAAGTTGTCTAGGAATTTCCTGCAGATAATATGTATGCAGTTCATACTTTACAATCATAAAGATTTATTTTAATTAATACCCATTTCATTGGGAAAGAACTCTCTCACTAGTCAATCAGCCATAGAAGAACTCAAAATGTGTTCTGGGGAGAGCATAACCTCTCTATCCCCCTTTCCCATTTATTGGTCAGATCAATATTTACAATTCATATCAATATCAATATTTATAATTCATTTAAGTACATGCATTTTCTTCTTTTTTAAACCTAGAAATGGTATCTGTTGTTACTTTTCTCATGGCTATTTACAGCTAATTGTGGAGTGAATTTGTCCACAGTTAACAGAGGTCTAAAATCTCAGCAGGCAGGTGGTAGAGGTATTTAAATTTTGATTGAGGCTCTCTTAACAGCACCCTAAAAATAACACCCAGATAATATCTATCTGTTTGATTATTCCTAGCAGTCTGATGCCGAAACCCAAACCAATCTATAGAGTTTCCACATTTGGAAAGAAAGTTGTGTAAATATCAGAGTATTCACTTAACATTCTTTGTAAATTAAATTATTTGAATATCCCTTCCATCAAAACCTTTTTTTAAATCCTAATATAAGTTTGTTGTTTTAGGTATTACAAATTGGAATAATCTTTAGCAACTTTAGGAATATAAAAATAATAGCTTATTAAGGCTAGCTAACCACTGAATATATTTCATCTTACTTGAATTTTCTTCTCCAGTATTCTCCCCGTATCTCTCTCTCCCTCCCTCCCTCTTCCCTCCCTCCCCCCTCTTTTTTTAAGCACATATCAGACATTCTAGCATTTTAAATGGAGTTTCTAACAATTATATTCAGAGAAACGTAAACATGGACAATGAAAATTACCTACATGGAAAATGGCTTATCATTTCATAGAGAATTTTTTTTAAGTAGTTTCCTTTAACCTTACTGGGAGGAGGGTCTATGCAAAAACTTTTCTGGAGTGGTCAGTCCTGAGGTGCTATGTCTGTTATGCTTCTTGCCAAAGTTCAGGAGGGCAGTATCTCTTTCCTCAAGATGGTGTGATAATGGGGTATTGCAGTGTTCTTGATGTGAAGCAAAGAGGTAACAGCCAGAAAGCTAAGTAAAATAGAGTTAACTTGCTTTAAGGAAAAGGGCAAAGCCTTTTCCTTCCCCCTGCTTTAAAGTCTTCCTGTTCCCACCCACCACGAAGACTTGAAACAATAGAGTCAGCAAAAAGAATGATATCTTTATGTTCAGTCTTTTTAAAAAAATTGTTCATTCTTATGAAATGTCTTATTTTGTTTCCTTAATGACTTTGTCTCCACTTCCTCTACCTTGTAGATGGGTAAGAACTATCAAATGCTTATTTTCCTAGTGGTGGTACATTTAAAAACAATCTCCCCTCCCCCAGAGTTCCTTCGTGAAAACTTTAGGCCAGCCAAATGAGTTACTACACTGGTTGGGATCTTAAGGCAGTAAGAGTGTGATAATACCACAGGAAACACTGCGTTTTGTTTCATGAATTTCTCTGGGTTAATGTTATCTTGATTCCTGATTTGTAACAAGGCAGCAACTCTGACATCTCCATTTAGGAACAATAATTGTAACTTTATTCATTCCTTGGATTGGTGATTGCACCTAGAAGATGTTCTACCTAGTATTTCTTACTATAATCTGATGGTGCCTCCATCATTAGCCTTATTTTCTACATTAAAAGGGAAGTGAAAAGAGAAAAGACGTAGAATTGTGATCTTGGGCATGATTACTGGATCATCAGAAATGTTGAACACATAAGGATGAAAGAAGAAGTGGTTAAAAGAATAAAGCACACTGTCAACAATAAAAGGAAATAACTAGAGAAAAATGACTATGCCTATTCATTAGAAACTGATGTAATTAATTGAATGTAGATTTTTTTGGTGGGGGATTAGTGGTCAGAAAATAATTATAAGTAAATACATGTTAATTATTTTTGCCTTGTCTCATTAAAAATTTTTGTGGTGGTAGATATGTAAATATCTTCCTAATTGAAAAAAACATAGTTAAACAAAATAGTGGCATTTCCTTCCTAAATGTGTTTAAAAGTGGTATTACTTCTCATCTGTCTGGAACAGTGAGGGTATACTAACACCTCACTGTATAACCCTTTTAATTACAGGGTATTTTATATTGTTTTGATTTTCATAATATCTTTGTTATGTCAGTAGGACCTTGCCCTATTATAAGGATGAGGAAACAGCCCGAAGTACTAAATGACTTGCCCAAAGTGGCATCATTTGTAATTATTAGATCCAGAACTAGAACTTAGGTCTCCTCTCATTTTCTTAGTCCTCTCTCTACTGCTTGGACTCACAGAGATGTTTTCCAAGGTCCTTTCCAGTCACAGGTTTCTTTAGTTTTAGCGAAGATATAAATGTATCACAATAATTTCTATAGTCAAAAAGTGCTGTCCTAGATTTTATTTTATTTTTTAAAAAAATATTTTATATATTTATTTATTTGGTTGCACTGTGTCTTAGTTGTGTTATGTGGGATCTAGTTCCCTGACCAGGGATCAAACCCCGGCCCCCTGCATTGGGAGCACAGAGTCTTAGCCACTGGACCACCAGGGAAGTCCCTGTCCTAGATTTTAAATATAGACATTTGGAGACAGTGGGAGGCAGATGTGCTGGATATTCTCTGCTTGCTCCACAGTCCACTGTTCATCCTCTTCCACCCTGATCTTTGCTACGGGAGGTTGTTCAGAGTGAACTGAATCAAGGGGCTTCTGATTAGGTTCAGCAGGAGATGGGAGGGCAGAGAGTGAGGTCAGGTATTTATTCCTCTGCTCCTTCCCTGCTGGGCCACAGTGGCAGTGGCTACAGTCCTTAACTGAAGGTATAGCAGATGCCATAGGTCCCCTGCCCAGGTACCCTCAGACCTCACCATGCCTGATGTACGGTGGTGGCTGCTTCCTGTGTGAACACCCGCCACTCTCTGCCTGAGGGCTTTTTCTGGCCATGGAAGCATGACTACCCCATGCGCAGGGCAGGGCAAAGGTACTGGACAGTTGATATCCCCAGGGAGCAGCCCTTAACCAATGATGTATGGGAATTGGTGGGTAAACACCCCCATGTCCTCTCCCCCAGGTTGGGACAACTCTGAGCCTTGTTCTTCACCATCTCCTAGAGGTCCCTATCGAGACTGAGCCCCATTTGCACTCAGTGGTGATCTGCTGATCAGTGCACACTGTGTTGGCCTCCTTCCCTCCCCTGTCTCACTTACCCACCCACTTCCAGTGCCTCTTGGAATTGCTTCTAAATAAACTACTTGTGCTGAAATCCTACCTTTGAGAATTACTTCTGGGGGACCCCAACCCAATGCAGAAGCCACAGTTCTTGTCAGACGACTGTCTTCTGTAGCTACAGCTTACTCTGTGGATTCCAGGAACCTCTTCCTTCCTCTCCCTGCCCCTTCAGGTCAAGTGTAGTCATGGATACCCATTGTTGCTAGCCCCAGAGTGATTCACTGCTCTTGTACACACAGCTGCAAAATAGGCTGGGCAATGTAGTCTTTATGCCGGGTGGCTAAACAATGGATATTCTTTTAGATCGGAAGAAAATGAGAATAAGAGGAGTGAACAGCTAGCAGTCTCTTCAGAGGAACACTTCAAATTTTAGAATTTTTGGAGACATACTGTGGGATAATTAAATGGTTGATAGCAACACAAATCAGGCCAGCAATGATTATAACGCAATCGCCACCATAATGTCAATAAAGGTATCAGGGTTATCTATGGGTTGCTCTTCAGGATAGCTGCTGTTGGAGAAGAGCTGGTTTTGCCCGGCTGTGCTCTTCTTGGAGGCAGAGCTCGTGAAATTCCTCTGTAGCCCTATCTGGTGATATGCTAACCTCATACTGCTTAGTTACAGCAAAGCTGCTCTACACTCAGCTGCCTGATATGCTTCATTTCATGCCTCAGGCATTGCTGTGACAATATTTATACTCAACTGTAGCAAAAAGTTTTTTTAAAACATCAGTAAAAATTTGGAGTGACTAAATTTTTACTGGGGAGGGGGGATTTGACTTCTTGTGTGCAGTGGTTGAGAATCCCCATGTTAGGTATTTTAGAGGATATAAAATGAGTAGTAAACTGTCCATTCCCTCCAGAACTCCAAGTCTAGTAGTGATGGAGAGTGTAGTGAGGACTGAAGGGAAATTTGGGGTGGGAAGGAATGGTAACTCAGTGTAAGAGGCAGGATACTTTGTTAAGGTGTTAGTTATTGTGGGTCTCCAATCCTACCCTAGCTTGTTATTGAAATTGCGCAAGGTGCTCTGAAGCAATAGAGTATTCAGGAAGAAATAAAGGG